GGAACCCTTTGCAGGTGTTATGGCTTAATTAGCTGATTAGAGTGGGACCCTTTGAGTCTAGAATATTGCACCTTTTCACAATATTCTAATTTTCTGAGATTGTGAATTTGGGGTTTTCATGAGCTGTAAGCCATAATCATCACAATTATGACAAATCACGGCTTGAACTATCTTGCTCTGCATGTAATGAGTCTATCTCATATATTAGTTTCACCTTTTAAGTTGCATTACTGAAATAAATGAACTTTTGCACAATATTCAAATTTTTCGAGTTTCACCTGTAAAGGTTTTACTGAATAACAACACTTTGGGGTACACACAGATTTTTGGCTGCTAATCACTAAAATGACGGGTAATTTAATGTACTGTTTTATATAGAAAATCTTTTGTTTTTTTGCAATATCTTCATATATACTGTACATTTTAAGTTTACTTTTTACTTGCGTTATAAGATGCTTTGTGTAGCTTATGCATATCCAGGCATTCATTCAGGCATGCATTATATACCTTTTGTGGAATTGGTACAGTTTGTGTATGCCTAGACATGCTTAGGCAGGATGGATGCTGCCTGGAAAAACTTATTTATTTTGATGTGAATGTTTCAAGACATAACATTGTCTATGTCTATGTAATCTACATAACAAGTAAGACAATTATAGACTTGCTATATATGATCAGTGAGAGAATAGATGTCTCTCCAATGTCAGAGCAGTCCTGATACATTCCAGCTATATTTGTGGTAAGTACACACTTAAAGTGATACTAAACCCCAGAACTTACATTCACTATATCTGGTCTCTCACAGTACACACAACATGGAAATGCAATTATTTTAGTAAATATAAACTGCTAAATACCTTTTCTCATCAGCAGTGAGAGCAGTCTTGTGACTTCAGCAGAGCACTGGTTAAAGTTTGTAGGAGGAGTTTTCTTTCTGCTCTAGGAGGATGTGAAACCTCTGACCCCCAGTGCTCTGTGCTTATTACATGCACTCTCGCAAGAAAAAAAAAAAATCTCTCTAGCAATACATAGCAAAGTGAGCATGTGCATGTGACTACGGATTCAGTCTGTATCAGGTGGTCATTTCAACAAGAGGAGGGGCAGAGAAGGAAGGATCAAACAGCCTTTTTACACAATGCAGAGGATTACAGACTGATTTTACTATTGTGGGTTTAGTAACACTTTAATCCTCAAAGATGCACAATGACTGGACGTATTAAAAAGGCATATCATGAACTTTACTTTGGTTGTAAGATTGGTGATCAAGACAAGGCCTGGGCTCCTCACATTTTTTGTGGACAATGTGCTGCTGATTTTAGAGCTTAGCTCAGAGGAACTTGGAAGTCAATGCCATTTGCTTCCCCAATGATATGGCAAAAACAGAATGATCACATTACAGTCTGTTACTTCTTTCTGAATAATGCTTCTGGTTCTTCTGCTACATTAACAAGGAAGGTAAAATTTTTAATGATATGAGACAGATGTTTCCAAGTATAACTGATGCCAAGATTAAGGGAGACATTACTGTAGGTCCACAGATCAGATATGTCATCAACAAATGGCTTGAAAATATGTTAGTGAAGCCTGAGAACATTTCTGTAAAGCATTCAAGGATATCGTTGAGAATTTTCTTGGCAACTACAGAGCACCCATCTACATTCAGCTGGTTTACAAACTTCTTACAGCATACATGACATGAAGTGCAACATGACACTGAAAATTCATTTTCTGCATTCACACTGAAAATCTAGGCGAACTCAATGACAAACATGGTTTCACCAGGACATTGCCACAATGGGAAAACAGTATCAGGGCAGTGGAGATCCATCAATACTGGCTGACTATTGCAGGACACTTGCGCAGGATACACCAGGCATTGGGGCTGATTTAATAAAGGCAAATAGACCGTGGACTTTCCAAGTACAGTTGCACTCAAAAAGTGCACTTGCACTCATTTTCCCAAGAGCTTAGTAAATGTGGTAAAACTCTCCTGATTTCCATCATCCAATCATGTGAAAGCAAAAATACTTTATTTTCCTTGCACCTGATTTGGTATTCTTTACAAAGTGAAACTTCACATTCACATTTACTAAGAAAAAGAGTGCAACTGCACTTGCAGAGTACACATTCTATTTGCCTTTAGTAAAGCAACATCACTGAGCACAAATGAAAATCAGCAGCAAAACACTTTTAGTCCTGTTGAAATCATGCAGCATGTTGGAATCATTATACTCAATAAAAGTTAATTCCATATTTCTTAAGACTCCTGCATGATATTGTCATTCTGAAATTATATTTATGTTCATTTTGAGGAGGTCTATCATCAGTGCCGGCGCTACCGCTAGGCGAACTAGGCAGCTGCCTAAGGTCTGCTCCAGACCATCTGACATGATGCGAGCGCTATGGAGGCAGTGTGTGAGCCCCACCACCACCGTGCTATAAAAAAAACAAGAGCCGAGCCACCTTGCATGCAACAGTAGGACAGACATGTCATGGACAGAGAGGAGTGAGCAGCTGTGGGAACTCTCTGTTCTGTTTGGAGGCAGTGCTGTGTTGGAGCAAGCAGTGGTGAAAGCCTTGAGGGACCACTGCACCATCCACATAGTGAGTAGAGACCAGAGGATAGAGAGAGACTGACTGGTGGTCACTGTGACTGGAGGAGCTGGCATGGAGCCCAGAGGGGATGTGTGTGACAATTGTGGTGGTGAGGTCAGACCTCAGGAGTCAGATGGTGTCTCAATGTAATCTATGCTGGCTGCTGCAGCACATGTCTGTCACAGACCAAGTCAATGTCCTAATGTGTGTGTGTGTGCACAGTGGTAGTGGTGGGTGCTGCTGCCTGTGTAGAGTATCCATGATTGGTGATCACTGGAGGAAATTGAGCCCGGGGAACATGTGGCACTGTGTCACTCTGTTGGTCAGATCAGGACAGGAGTCAGTTAGACGGTGTCTCCTTTGTGCTACGGCACATGTCTGTCTGTCTCATCATGTCTCTGAAAGTCTATTTCACTTCATGCTTGTATGCTCAGCAGGAAGAGGGGGGCTACCTGTGTGGAGGGGAGATGAGGCTTTCACTGACACTGAGGGATCCAGCAGTGTCCAGGGCAGTCAATTTCATATGTGCCCAGGCCCTTCCTGAGCTGGGAAAGGAAGGGGGCAGCAGTCTGTTAGCTGATCACTTCAGGATGGCTGAGGGGCTCTCTTGGCTCTTGCTGTTGGGGCATAAGCAGTCTCTCTCTCTCTCTCTCTCTCTCTGGGGGGGCAAAAGCAGTCACTATCTCTCTCTGGGGGGGGGCACAAGCAGTCTCTCTCTCTGTTGGGGGCGCAAGCTGTCTCTCTCTGGGTGGGCCCATGCAGTCTCTCTCCGGGGGGGAAACAGTCTCTCTCTCTCTTTCTGGGGAGGCATAAGAGGTCTCTCTCTCTCTGGAGGGGGGCACAAGCAATCTCTCTCTGCGGGGGTGCAATCGCTCTCTCTCTCTCTCTCTCTCTGGGGGCACAAGTGCTCTCTCTCTCTCTCTTGGGGGGAGGACACAAGCAGTCTCTCTTTCTGGGGCACAAGTGGTCTCTCTCTCTCTCTGGGGGAGCACAATCGGTCTCCCTTTCTCTTTGTGGGGGCACAAGCGGTCTGAAAGGCAGTCACTCTCTCTCTCTTGCTCTCTCTTTCTGTGGCGCACAAGCGGTCTCTCTCTCTCTCTCGGGGGGCCACAAGTGGTCTCTCTCTGTGGGGGCACAAGCAGTCTCTCTCTCCCTCTCTGTGGGGACACAAGCAGTCTCTCTCCCCTTCTCTGTGGGGGCACAAGCGGTCTCTGGAGGGGATTTTGCTAGGAGGGATTTAGGGGGATTTGTGCTAGGAGGGGTGATTTGAGGGAGAAGATTTGCGCTAGGAGGGGTGAAGTAGAACTACAGGTGGAGTTTTATTTTTTTTTGGGGGGGTTGCAAGTAGCTAGCCCTGCCTAGGGTGCAAAATAATCTAGCACCGGCCCTGGCTATCATAATCATCAAAAGCTTTTCTGGAAGCAAAACCTGATGGCTAGCATTGCAGTTTCTAACTTCTACAGGATAACTTGAGAAAATCAAAATTTTTACACTCTAATAGATTCTAAAATTCTGCAGCTTAACTTCATTAAAATAGAACTATGGTCTCCCATTAAAAAATATATGTGCTTTATAAGTGTATTTACACTTAGAGTTTCCTATTACAAGGTCCCAGAAATACCCATTGAAGTAACAGTTGCCCTATTTTATAGAATGTAGATGTTTTATAAATGTAACTTATTAAATTGGAAAGTTATCAATACCTTTTGCATTTCTCATTGAAAACATCACAAAAATTCATTCAAGTCTTAAATTAAGATTGTTCTCAGAAAAATCAAATCAGATATGGGATTCTTGGCTTAAAGTAGAACTTTACTCTCTCAATCAACATTGATTATCTTTATTCCTTATCCTGCTAGCATTAGTAAATAGATAGGAAGGTATATCATATTTACTTGTTTTAAACTTTTTTTTTTTTTTACATTTCTTCAATTACCGTATTTGCCGGCGTATAAGACGACTTTTCAACCCCTGAAAATCTTCTGAAAAGTCGGGGGTCGTCTTATACGCCGGTATACGGCGAGCCGGTGTCAGGGCGGCACTTTTTCCAGGGGCGGTGTCCTAAGTACAGGGGTGGGCAGAGGGGCTGCTGTACCTTACCTGGCTCCGGTCCCACGATGATCCGGTCCAGGAAGCGCGGCTGCTCCTTCTTTCAGTTCGGCCGCTCGATGGTCGCGGCCGCTCGCGGCCGCTCGGCTCCGCCTCCTCACCGGTGATTGGGCACCAGCGCACACAGGCGACCAATCACCGGCGAGGAGGCGGAGCCGAACGGCCCCGCGAAAATCAAGCTGCCGAACTGAAAGAAGGAGCGGCCACTCCTCTCCCCCACTGACACTAACGATGGGGCACTATTCCTCCTCCCCACTGACACCAATGATGGGGCACTATTCTCCCCACTGACACCAATGATGGGGCACTATTCCTCCCCCACTGACACCAATGATGGGGCACTATTCCTCCCCCACTGACACCAGTGATGGGGCACTATTCCTCCCCCACTGACACCAATGATGGGGCACCATTCCTCCCCCACTGACTCCAATGATAGGGCACTTTTCTCCCCACTGATACCAATGATGGGGCACTATTCTCCCCACTGACACCAATGATGGGGCACTATTCCTCCCCTACTGACACCAACCATGGGGCACTATTCCTCCTCCCCACTGACACCAACGATGGGGCACTATTCCTCCTCCCCACTGACACCAACGATGGGGCACTATTCCTCCCACTGACTAATGATGGGGCACTATTCCTCCCACTGATACCAATGATGGGGTGCTATTCCTCCCACTGACACCAATGATGGGGCACTATTCCTCCCACTGATACCAATGATGAGGCACTACTCCTCCCACTGACACTAATGATGGGGCACTATTTCATCCACTGACACCAATGATGGGGCACTATTCCTCCCACTGACACTAATGATGGGACACTATTCCTCACACACTGACACTACTGATGGGGCACCATTAGTATCAGTGGGAGGAGTAGTGCCTCATCATTGGCATCAGTGGGAGGAATCATGCCCCATCATTGGTGTCAGTGGGAGGAATAGCACCCCATCATTGGAATACCATACTGAAATACCATACCATATTGAAATCAAATCTGATGTTTTTTCATTTTTATTTGGTGTGCGTTGGAAGAGGGGTAGTCTTATACGGCGAGTAAAGCTCAAACCCTATATTTTAACAGGAAAAGTAGGGGGTCGTCTTATACGCCCAGTCGTCATATACGCCGGCAAATACGGTACTTCCTGGTTTCATGCCAAGGCAAACTATGTCATACATCTTAGGAGTCTTCAGGAGGGGAAGTGGGGAGGAGGGGTTTTCTCAGCTAAGCACACCATTCTGTATGTATGCCTGAGCCAAAGGCAGATGGATTCCAGGAAGTAAATGTTACATGAATCATCTGTCCTTCCCCAAGATGGCCACTATCAGAAATGAAAATAAATCATGGAGACATGGATGCATGAGTTTGCTCTGAATATTAAACATTAATTAAATAGTTTTAATTTTGTGGTGCTCAGATGCAGTGTAGTTCCATGTTAAGGGCAAGAGTTAATAGAAGGGAATCCTCTTAATGGCCAGAGGATGTCTACTGGGGTCATTCATTAGGCACCTGTAGACAGGTGCCTAATGAAATGGGAAAGAGGTCATCACTCAGAGGACTTTGGAGATGTTACACATTGGGCTCTAAGTAGAAACAGTCCTTTTACTATTAAATACTTTGGGAATAGCTCTCTTGCATCTCAAGCAGAGATTCTCAGATCACCAAATTACCAACAAAATAACATGGGGTGGCCTGGTGCACTAAAGCCTAGGTAAACAAAATAATTATGGGGAGGTATGCTAAGCTTCCTATATGCATTTATGTATTTTTTTTCATTAGAATGTACCATTATGCAAGCCTATCATATACCACAGGTAATAGTCTTCTAGTGACCTGGTTGCCATGCTGATACAATATTGGGTTTTCATACACATACAATCATTACTCTGAATGTCTGCACTTTTAGTTGCTCCCAGCAGGATCTTGCCAGTAATAAAATTAAAGGTAAGAAACCTTAACATGCACAATACAATATCAGACACAGGAGCTGCAATGACTATTGTAACTCACTTGTATAATGTAAAAATATTTGACACTTCAGATAGAAAATTTTGATGTAACTATATTGGGAAACGTTTGCACTGCTCAAATATAATATGTACATGCTGTATGAAAAATTCTTTCATGGTGAAGTGAAAAAATGTACATCTATATACTGCTTTAATATAACTCTCAATTTAAAGATAGATACAAAAGTGCAAAGTGAAATGTTTCTCTTCAAAGCACTGAACTGTTACAGCAGAATATTGAGTGACAGCTCCAAAGTCTTTAGGTTTCTCCCTTATAATGATCTTGCTGCACAGACCTTGTTCTATGCAATGTGTTTTTCATTAAGGAATATTTTATAACAGCTGGTCTTCATGCCATTTTGACCTCCTGTGATAAGAAAACGGTTTAGATTAATAACACACCTTATCAAATGTTAATTATCCTTTAATGGACTCTAGGAAAACAAAGGCAATTACAAGGAAGTAATTAAATAATTAATGAAATTATCCACATTTCAGAGTGTGTTTAACTATGTCATATCATATCAAAGACCTATTAAATTTAACTTCATCCTAATTTTAGCAAACCATGCTCTCCCTTCATTACAAGTGAACTGTAACAATTGTTCTAGCAACATTTTCAGTATTAAATTCTTATTAAAGATGATGTAGTCATGTAAAGTTTATTACTGCGCTCCAACTTATCAAGGCATGGGGGCTGATTTACTAAAACTGGAGAGGGCAAAATCTGGTTCAGCTGTGCATGGTAGCCAATCAGCTTCTAATGACAGCTCGTTCAATTAAGCTTTGACAATTAGCCTAGGTTCACACCTTCGCATGTTGTGCGGGCTGCGTTTGCATGGGCATGGCAGCCCATTCATTTGAACGTGCTGGCGTGCCTCGCGAAATGCAGGGAAAAGGTCCCTGCAATTTTCCAGAAATCACAGTCTGCACGGGAACTGCACTACAGTGTGAGTCCCAGCGTGGGTGTGATTTCCAGTGCAGGTGGATATTAATTGCTCATAGATTCACCAAGAGGGAGTATGGTGGAAGGCTGTCCAGCAGTTTATATCGGAAGAGACTGCAGGAAACACTATTCTACATGTTTCTAGTTTTCACCCTAATCCAATGGTGAGATTTATTCCTTATAGCCAGTACAGTTGCAAGAAAAAGTATGTGAACCCCTTGGGATTACGTGGAGTTTTGCATGAATTGGGCATAAAATGTGCTCTGAACGTCATCTAAGTCACAACAATAGAAGAACAGAGTCTGCTGAACATAATACTACACAAACATTAGATGTTGCCATGGTTTAATTGCACATAACATGTAAACATTCACAGTGCAGGGAGGAAAAAGTATGTGAACTTTTTTTGGACTTAATAACTGGTTGACCCTCCTTTGGCAGTAATAACCTCAACCAAACGTTTCCTGTAGTTGCAGATCAGACCTGCACAACGATCTGGAGTAATTTTGGACCACTCCTCTTCACAAAACTGTTTCAGTGTAGCAATATTCTTGGGATATCTGGTGTGAATCGCTCTCTTAAGGTCATGCCACAGCATTTCAATCGGGTTGAGGTCAGGACTCTGACTGGGCCACTCCAGAAGGCGTATTCTGTGCTGTTGCAGCCATTGTTTTGTTGAATTACTTGTATGCTTTGGGTCATTGTCCTGTTGCATCACCCTCCTCTGCGGAGCTTCAGTTGGCGGACAGATGGTCGTACTTTTTCCTGCAAAATGTCTTGATAAACTCTGGAATTCATTTTCCCATCAATGACAACAATCCGTCCAGGCCCTGAGGCAGCAAAGCAGCCCCAAACCATGATGCTCCCTCCGCCATGTTTTACAGTGGGGATGAGGTTTTGATGTTGGTGTGCTGTGCCTTTTTTTCTCCACACATTGTGTTGTGTGTTCTTCCCAAACAACTCAATCTTGGTTTCATCTGTCCACAGTATAATTTGCCAGTAGTGCTGTGGAACATCCAGGTGCTCTTTTGCAAACTTCGAACGTGCTGCAATATTCTTTTTGGACAGCAATGGCTTCCTCCATGGTGTCCTCCCATGTACTCTGTTCTTGTTTAATGTTTTCCTTATTGTAGATGTGTCAACAAAAATGTTAGCATGTGCCAGAGATTTCTGTAGGTCTTTAGCTGACACTCTGGGATTCTTCTTTACCTCATGCAGCATTCTGCGCTGTGCTCTTGCAGTCATTTTTACAGGACGACCACACCTAGGGAGAGTAGCAACAGTGCTAAACTTTCTCCATTTGTAGACAGTCTGTCTTACCATGGACACATGAACATCAAGGCTTTCGGAGATACTTTTGTAATCCTTTCCAGCTTCATGCAAGTCAACAATTCTTGATCGTAGGTCTTCTGAGTGCTCTTTTCTGCGAGGCATGGTTCACATCAGACAGTGCTTCTTGAAACCAGTAAACCCAAAACAGGTGTGTGTTTTTTAAGGGCAGGACAGCTGTCAGCAACACATCCAATATCATCACACTGATTGGAGTCAAGGTTGGCTCACTCCTGGCTCCAATTAGCTCTGGGAGAAGTCATTAAGCTAGGGCCTCACATACTTTTTCCTCCCTGCACTGTGAATGTTTACATGTTATGTGCAATTAAACCATGGCAACATCTAATGTTTGTGTAGTATTATGTTCAGCAGACTGTGTTCTTCTATTGTTGTGACTTAGATGACGTTCAGAGCACATTTTATGCCCAATTCATGCAAAACTCCACGTAATCCCAAGGGGTTCACATACTTTTTCTTGCAACTGTACCTCTGTACAAGGCAGAATTGCTCCAGTGAAGGAGTGAAGCCAACAAGTTGAAAGTGAGATTACTGGACAGGAGGTGAACTGAAATATGTTTAGGAAAGGCTTTCAATGAAGCAAAGGAATAATTTCATGAGAAATTAATTTTTAAGAAGAAAGAGAGCCCTAACAAGATAACAATACACAAATAATTATAAGGTACTCGAAACAACACACTTGAATCAGAAAGATAATTAGTAAATATTGGTCATTATTGTGCGGGCCACATTTGCGCGGACATGACTGCTCATTCATTTGAATGTGCTGGTGTGCCTTGCAAAACGCAAGGAAAAGGTCCTTGCACCTTTCCAGAAAAAACAGCCTGCATGGAAACCGCACTACAGTGTGGTTTCCAGTGTGGGTGCAATTACCAGTGCACGTGGCATGTGGCACATTAAGAGATTAATGACGCCTGCCCAAAAATCCCACATGTTGTGTGCCTGTGGTTGCAGCTGCAGGACAAATGCAGGTCCTGCAGTGGCTTCCACCCTTACAAGTGTGAACCCAACAAGATAACAACACACAAATATATATTATAAGGTACTCTAAACAACAAACTTGACTCAGAAAGATAATTAGTAAATATACAGTAGGTCATTACTGGCTGAGGATACAGTGTAGGGCAAATTTGCAAACAAATCACCTTCCATCACATCAAAATGTGTGACATCTAATAAAGACAAGGTGGTTCATGGAGAAGATAATGAAGAATGTAGAGGAGACACTTGTAGGAATATGGGCACCTTCCCCTGTGGGAATATTTCTTATTGTCAGTATATAGACACACGGAAAGTGCTGACATTACCCTGTGAAGAAATGTACAAAATAAAGTATTTTGCCAATTGT